TATATATATATATATATAGTACAACCATAATTTTAACGTACTATAGGTGAAGCCGTCAAGCTATTCATTATATACAGTATTGGAAGATAGTATGTGATATGTGGTGGATATGTGACAGTTTTAGCATATATATGCTGGGAGTATATTGTATATTGTGGGCATTACTACGAAATACTTTTGAGGAACCTTTGGAAGCATCTACTTCGTCTCTATTAACAACTAGAACTTGACTCCTTTTCTATGTCTAATCCAAACAGAAATCATCATCATCATCATCGTTAAACTCTAAAGATTTACGATTGCAAATTAGAATGAGGGTGATGGCGGGTTGAGAATAACTTGGTTCTTTTAAAAGATGATTCTAAAATTTCTTCAATACAAACAATGTCTCTACTACCACCGTCCATGATTTTCGGAGCAATATGTTTTTTATGAAAATCAGCACCTACACAGATGTATTATACTGATACAGAATGGAGAAATCACGTAGAAAGGGGATATACGTTATGAAATCATGGAGTATCTTTTACTTGAGAAATTTTGTAAAAATTGATAGTGATAGATACGTGAGAAACACAAAGAGATATTTTAAGTGAGAGAGTGTTGGCCCAAGTAAAGGTAAGTTTTGAAGACTGACAAAGGAACTCAGACATGGACCGGGTCCATCCTAGTAAAGCACAAATATGGTCAACTCAAGCATGTGAGATACACGTGAAGGAGATTCCTAACTTACTAGAAATGATATCTCCTGATCCTGATCGAAAAGGTTGCATATTGGATAAGGAGAAAGAATCCTTACTCAAAGAGAACACGGCTTAAGAGAAGGATAGAGTTAGAGGTTGAGATCAACTAGAACTCTTCCACCAAGGAAGAGTAGCATCAGAATTCTAGTCAATCTCTATTTACTAACTCCGTAAATATCAGTGTTGTTCTCTTTTACAGGTAACACACATAAGCAAAAGTTAAACGTGAATTGAGAGCAAAATAGCAAGGCAATTTTGCAAGCAATTTGTTTGTGATTCAAGTGTGCAAACCTGAAGCTACTTGAACCAGTTCCAAGTGTCTGTCTTTTATTTCTAGTTCAATTGTAGTAGGTGTTTTCATATTGTACCTTTCAGCTTATCTAGAAGCAATTGTATTAGGTACTCAGAGTTTTAAAGTTAGAGTTAACTTGACGTTGACGCAATAGTTGAGGTTGTGTGCTACAACGGGATTAAAGTTAATCCTATGTTACAAAAGAGTTTTGTAAATGCAGTTTTTTGGCTAAGTGATTTTAGTGGAGAGTTTGGGAAAATCCTACTGGAAAGTAGGTCGTGGGTTTTTCACCTTTTGAGCCAGGTATTTTCTTCGTAAAATCTCCGCGTTCTTTAATTTTTGTACTCATTATTCTGTAACAGCAGTAGTTGGAACACATAGAAGAACCAAGCCCTTCTATAATCAGGTTAAGCAAAAAATTGAACACAACACAAATCACCCCCCTCTTGTGTGGTATTGAAGTATAAAACATCTAAGAGAATATCACCGAGGCATTTTAGGAATTAAAAAGGTATGATTTAAAAAAAAAGTTGTACTAAAAGTAATTTTATTAAAGCAGTTGTAGAAAATATAAATAAGTTTTAAAGAGTTGTATTCTATGTAAATTCCTCTAAAAATAAGGTAACTTCCCCTATTTACCGGGAATGTCATTAGATCCTTAGAGGAACGTACCTCCCCTTAAGTAACGTACTTTACTTTTCAGTGTACGGTAAGCGTAGATTTAGGCCCTAAATATTCTCTAATTTGTTAATATTAATTATCAATATAAACTTATTAGGTTACCACTACAATACTACCTCATAACAAACGCTTCATATTCCCCAAAAATAGGTAATAGCCGGTATATATATTGTACAACCATAATTTTAACGTATTACAGGTGAAGCCGTTATATACAGTATTGGAAGATGGTATGCGATATGTGGTGGATATGTGGTAGTTTTAGCATATATATGCTGGGAGTATACTGTATATTATGGGCATTACTACGAAATACCTTTGAGGAACCTTTAGAAGCATCTACTCCATCTCTATTAATAGCTAGAACTTGACTCTTTTTCTATATCTAATCCAAACAGAAATCATCATCATCATCGTCAAACACTAAAGTTTTACTGTTGCAAATTAGAATGAGGATGATGGCGGATTGAGAACAGCTTGGTTCTTTCAAAAGATGATTATGAAATTTCTTCAATACAAACAATATCTCTATTACCACATCCATGATTTTCGGAGCAATATGTTTTCTATGAAAATAGGCCCCTACATAGATATATTATATTGATACATAATGGAGAAATCACGCAGAAATGGGATATACGTTATGAAATCATGGAGTATCTTTTACTTAGAGAAATTGTGGGAAAATTGATAGTGATAAATACGTGAGAAACACAAAGAGATATTTTAAGTGAGAGAGTGTTGGCCCAAGTAAAGGTGAGTTTTGAAGACTGACAAAGGAACTCAGATATGGATCAGGTCCATCCTAGTGAAGCACAGATATGGTCAACTCAAGCATGTGAAATGCAAGTGAAGGAGATAAACCTAACTTACCAGAAATGATATCACCCGGTCCTGAAAAAAAATGTTGCATATTGGATAAGGAGAAAGAATCCTTACTCAAAGAGAACACGACTTAAGAGAAGGATAGAGTTAGAGGTTGAGATCAACTAGAACTCTTCCGCCAAGGAAGAGTAGCATCAGAAATCTAGTCAATCTCTATTTACTAACTCCACAAATATCAGTGTTGTTCTCTTTTACAGGTAACACACATAAGCAGAAGTTAAATGTGAATTGAGAGCAAATAGCAAGGAATTTTGCAAGCAATTTGTGTGTGATTCAAGCGTGCAAACCTAAAGCTACCTGAATCAGTTCCAAGTGTCTGTCTTTTATTTCTAGTTCAATTGTAGTAGGTGCGTTCATATTGTACCTTTCAGCTTATCTAGAAACAATTGTATTAGGTACTCTGAGTTTTCAAGTTAGAGTTAACTTGAAGTTGTCGCAATAGGCGTGTGCTACAACGGGATTAAAGTTAATCCTAGGTTTACAAAAGAGTTTTGTAAATGTCGTTTTTGGCTCAGTGATTTTAGTGGAGAGTTTGGAAAAAACCTACTGGAAAATAGGTCGTGGTTTTTTCACCTTTGAGCCAAGTATTTTCCACGTAAAATCTCTATTTTTTAAATTTCTGTACTTATTATTCCGCAACAGTAGTAGTTGTAACACATAGAAGAACCAGACCCTTCTATAATCAGGTTAAGCAAAAAATTGGACACCATACAAATCACCCACCTCTTGTGTGGCATTGAAGTATAAAACATCAAAGATAATATCACGGAGAGCTTTTAGGAATTAAAAAGGTATGATTTTAAAAAAAAGTTGTACTAAAAGTAATTTTATTAAAACAGTTGTAAAAAATATAAATAAGTTTTTAAAGAGTTGTATTCTATGTAAATTCCTCGAAGGGAGAAAAAAGAAAATTTACTTTCACTATTTCACTGCTGCCACAGCCTCAATGACACTTGCTATTTGGTCCTGAATTTTCAATTTTTCAGGACGCAAGATTCTGAAGGGTTTTTTTTTTTTTTCACCCTATGAAAATTCCACAAATTATGTCGGCCATATGTCTTGCACTCACCGTTCAGGTGAGAGTGGCATATTTAGCCAACCGACCCTTTTTGGTCAAGTTAAGATTTTTAATTTGAATTTTTTAGACAAAATAAGTACGGGCCATAATTTCCCTTCAACTTCGCTAATAATTCGGCAATTCAAGTCAGTCAGCGAGTTATATTTTTCTCTTCAAAATTACTAGTTTCATTGAAACGTAAAGTTAACGGCAACCGGAGGAAAAATATGATATCGGACTTGAAGCTCATCCGCCAGCTACGGGATTTCCTAAGTACATCGGACCTCAACACGATAAAAACCTCCATCGTTGGGTGGAAACTGGAGGAAGATTTTGGAATTGACTTGTCCCACAATCTGCGGAAGTGAAATCGGAAGCAAGTTATATGGAGAAGAAGTAGGCTGTTTTAATGTATATCAAACTTTTTGCATGTATGTATGTCCATTGGATGTGCCATTGCAATTTTAATTTCTGTGATCATGTTTGAGTTAACTTAATCAATACTCTATCTGTTCCCCGTTATGTGACATTTTTTTTTTTGCTGACCAACATTTCGAATTTATTTTTCGTCATCAAGAAATGCTAACTTATAGTAATTTCACTATAGTTTTTTGAATATTTAAATTTAAATTTTGAAATATTTAATTGATATAATATAATTTAACACAAAGATTAGTCAAATTGACTTTCGAAGTGAATAATGTCATATAAATTGGAACGGAGAGTACAATTATGCTTCTCCTTGCTTAAATTGGCATTCTTAACTTCACGCATGAAATTTTAAGTAAAACTTTCTCACATAGTACCTCCTGTACGTTTCCGGCAATTAAAATATCAAATGAGTTTTTTTTCTTTCAAATAAGTAAAATATTAGATGAGGTTTTCTGCTGTAGTTCTTCATCTTGTTTACGCATAAATCATGTTATCGTGCATAGATATATCTAGCAGATGCCTTATGCGTAGTGTAGGCTATCCTGGTTGAACTGACGATGGTTTACACCTTATTAGGTCTGGTAAGAAGAATGTAAGTGGCGAAAAGAGTGGTGGCGGATTTAGCAAAGTATGTAGCCTTTCTCCACAACTTCAGAAGTTTACTGGGAAGCAGAATTAGCAAGTACAGAGGTTCACAAATTCATGATGCTTCTTTCTCTTTTTTCCTTCTCTAAACCCCTGTCGCCATTGGTATTACCGCGTGCAACTGACCTTTTATTTGTTTAATGAAGGTAGTGAAGAAATTGTGGAACTATATTCGCGAAAATAATTTGCAAGATCCAGCAAATAGACGGATTATAAACTGTGATGGCAAAATCTGTGAGCTTTTTAGTGTGGATAAACTGGACATTTTCCAAATGAACAAAGCCCTAGCTAAACATATCTGGCCTTTGGATTCTGATGGTGGTAATGGAAACTCTTCTCTTCTTAGGCCTTAAAATTTAATATCCGCTTTTAGTGCTGACTTCTTGATGTTATTTATAATTCATGCATTTTGCTTGTCCAGTATACTTAACTACGAATTGATTTCCATAGTAACAGCTTTTGGCGTCTGGAAATTCCGTAGAAAAGAAAAAGCGACAGAACAGGAAGAGGATGAAGGCAATAACTCCACGTAAAGTATACTTGGACAATGTTATGTCTTTTGCAGTTCTGAAATTTGTCTGCTTATTAATGCCTCGCCAAAACAATTGCTAAGAACTCGCGCGCTTAATCTCTTAGATATCCCCTGGTAGTGTTTGTAACGACATTTCTTAAACCTGCTTTATCTCATTATAGATTCAGATGAACCAATGAGAAAGGAAAAGCGGCACAATTCAGGAATTCTTGCTTTCTCATGCTCTGGTTAAGTTTCTTGGTACAGGAGAGACTGAATTGCCACGGTCCAACGTTGTTAAGTAACTTGCAGGTAGTCGTCAATTCTAGGTATTGGTTCTGTTCTATCTCCTTTGGAGCAATCCCATTTATTCTCTCTCCTCTCTCTGAATTCTGAATTTTGAAAACTAACCTAAAGGACGACATAGTGTGTCTATGATTGACAATCTTATACTTCTTGCTTTTGAAAGATTTTCTTGAAAGCTTGGCATCCTCGTAACGTGTCGATCTTTCTGGTCCGAGCCGAATTTCATTCTGTTGGGCAATCAGCAATGCATTAATTCTTGAATCCTGCTTGGTTTAGGCAGGTAATTTTTGAGAGTTTTTTAAAGGTTCTCACTAGCAATACATTGCGACACATAGGACTTCTACATACATACTGTGGCTCCGACTTACATGACGCCAGTATATAAATGTCCACTATTATTTGGTCAAAGGTTCTTAACTGCGAAATAATCAGTTTATCCGAAAAAGTTTCCGGAGAAACCATTGTTTTAAATTCAAAAAGACTTTTCGATCGGAAGTTGTATTTTTAGGTCTACTCGAGGAGAACTGTATTTTTTAATTTATTTCCCCCAGGGGAGGTGTTTATCTTTTCCTGTATTTTATTTGGTATGAGTGTAGGGGAAGTAAAAAGCCTTTTGCTTTATGATTTCTGTCCAATTTTGTTTACTGCTGCTCGTCCTTTCTAATCAACAAGGGAATAAGTAAGCCTTGATGACTTGATCTTTACTTCAGCTCCTGCTGCTTTCCCGCACTACTCCAACAAAACGTAGTTTTCCTGCAAAAATATTTAAGGCCATCTTTTATCATAAGACTAAGGTAGCAGGAGCTAAATTATAGTATGGGTTGCTTCCCTTTGTTTATCAAAGATTGCGGGGGTTTTAAACTAGTATTAATTATCTTTCAAACCCCCACAAATTAAAAATTCATTTTGTGGCGGTTGTTATAGAGGTTTTAAAAATCCGCCGGAATAATGCTCGTGGCACAGGTAACTGCGGCACTCTAGAAACCGCCACAATTCTTTTTGTGGGAGTCAAACCCCGTCACAATTTGACCAAAAAACTCCCACAAAGTAACTGGTTTCTTGTAGTGTAAAGCAGGTTTAGAAATCGCAAAATTCTAAACAATGAAACCGGACATGCTTGCTTGCATTCCCCCACATTAATTACTCTTGATCAACCTCCTCATTACCCCGTTATCCTTGTTAAAAGCAGTTAAATCTACTGGAAAAAATATTTTTCTGAATCCACATTCAGTGTAGACATCTCGGTAGTTGCTTATGTACTTTGTTTATGCTTGGCTTGCATTAGCTGTTTATTCTATGAGAAACTTTGTTGGTCATTTGGAGTATTAGGTACATGAACATACTGTTTTTCCCAGAGGCAAAATGCATTGTTTTAGACCGTGAAGTTCTCCTGGATTGAGTTATAGATAGCTACAAAGCAGGTTAAATGACGAAACAGTTCATTTTCTTGCATCCTAGTATAGTTGAATGAAGCAAAAACGGGCAGTCCGGTGCACTAAGCTTCCGTTATGCGTGGGGTTCGGGGAAGGGTCGGACCACAATATCTATTGTACGCAACCTTATCCTGCATTTCTGCAAGAGGTTGTTTCCATAGCTCGAACCCGTGACCTGCTGGTCACAAAGGCAACAACTTTACCAGTTACGCCAAGAAAGCTGAATGAAGCACAACCTCAAAATCCTCCTCCTAGGACAGACCCTTCAACTAGGCAGAAGCGGACCCAGGATTTGAAAGTCGGGGGTGCACTTTTGGATTCAACCAAAATCTGCTTTAGTTTGTATATAGGGTGCTCACTATTGATATATCACTATTTTCTAATGATATATACATGTATACATAGATGTTTTGCCGAACTTTATGGGTGCCGGTAGCCCCTCTCAGTATAGCATAGGTCCGTCTCCGGAACTAGGTGGTTTCATTAATATTTAAGTGCATCACTTCCCAGCTAGGCCAAACCCAAACACTAGTCTTTGCTTCTAGAAGTAACTCAAGACGAGCACATATATACCTTGGATATCAGCTCTCTGTAAACTGAATGATATTGACATCTGTTGATACCCAACTTTTTCAGCGCGCATTATATGGTGGGGATTGTTGTGTGGGCAAGGGTTCATTGCGACATTTGGTTGTGTGATGCCTGTTGCATCGTCAGCTTCAATAATATTTGAACTTTCTGTTCTTCTCTGATTGGCTCACTGTTTTCTTTCTGGACCTTGAAGGATCCATCTGATAAGAGGATAATAACATGTGATGAGAAGTTGAAAGAACTGTTTCATGTTTGCAGCTTCACTGGATTCGAAGTAGCAAAACTACTTGCTGCACATTTTATAAAGACAGAATAATGAGTTGGTTGTGCATCATACACGTCATAGCTCAATGGATTTGAAAATTCTTCGTTGAGCTCTAACCTAGATACTAACTCCTTTGATTATCCTTCGTGTTGATGAGTACTGTCTTCTCCAGCTTGTGCCGTGTCTTCTCATGTGAGAAAAAAGCTCCATGTTTCACTAAGTTAGGACTCATATCTTCTGTGAAAAATATGAATATTCGTAATTTTAATTTACATTTAAATGTCATGTTTATGTTGTTCCATTTTGAAGGATATTCAATTGTACTTAATCCAATATATTTTCCAATTAGCCTGTGTATGATTCTGAGAGAGTTGCAAATTTTCTGCTAACAAATGCATAATTCAACTATTGAATGCCACTTGCTAGACTAGGTGCAACTATTGCCCGTGGGCGTGGATAAGTTTCAGTCAATGGTGTTATTGTTCCTTGCCTAAAGTCAAAATTGGTGGTTCAGATTGACTCCGTTTTAAAAGCAGATTAACACTCGTCAACTTTTTAAGTCTAGCATCCATACAATTTTGCTAGCTTTTACGCATTTTGACTATTCCACAAAATATTTGTTATTTTTTACGAGCACAAATACCTTAACTCTCCGTCAAGGCTTAGGTAGATGATAAAAAATTACCTAACATTTTGTTTTTATTGGAATTCGAACTTTGGGCTCTCTAATGGTTTATATTCCACTTTTATCAACCACCCGGCCACCCCTTGAGTAGGGCTGTGCACGGATCGGATTGGATCGGATTTAGCCTATTTCGGATTCGAATTTCGGATTTTGGATTCTGGAAAGGGCAATCCGAATCCGATCCGAATTAACATTGGATTGGATCGGATTTTAAACTTTGGATCGGATAATTTTTCGGATTGTCGGATCGGATTGTCACAAGAAATTTCAACAATTTAAAGTTCATTCGGTGTCTCTATCTCATCTTCCATCTACCAAAACAAACAAAAAAATCAAAATAAAATCAAAAGTTGAAGAATAGAACATGAAATAGACATAAAAGAAAGAAGAGAAGAGAAGTGAGGCGGAAGAAAGAGACATAAAATCAAAGTAAAATCGGAAGTTTGAGTCATTGAGACTCTTTTAGTCTTCACTGAAGAGAAGTGCAAGAGAGGCGGAAAAATCTAAGTGAGTGAGGGGGTGTGTGAAAAATGAATAAGCATAACCCTAAAATTTTAGTGTGTATTTATATAGGTACATATAATTCGGATATCGGATCGGATCGGATTAAAATCATACCAATCCGAATCCAATCCGAAAATCCGAAATTTCATAAAACACAATCCATATCCAATCCGAAAATTCGAAATTTGAAATCCGAAAATCCGAAATAGAGTGGATCGGATCGGATTTCGGATATCCGATCCAAATGCACAGCCCTACCCTTGAGTGTCCTAACCCGGTATTTGTATACTTTGACTACCAAAAGTCCGGTTGGATTACTTGGAATGGTGTGGCAGAATTTGTATGAGAAGAATATCAAGTAGATCTTGAAAGATATGGGAGGAATCGAAGCTGCCACAGATTTAATCAATGATGACCATCGAACAGTTCCAAGTTGCCAAAACCACGAAGTAACGTTCACAAGAAAGAAACAAGATTATGGGGATGACAATTCCCGTTATGGCAGTGTCCAATTTTGACTAAATGGTGTGAAAAAAGAGTGAACCAGAGAAGATATATGGTGGGAAACACGTGGAATTGCCCCAACAGTTCAGACAACAGAGAACGAAATCCCAAATTGAGAGCACAAAGAAATCCTGAATGAATAATTATCACTTTTCTTTTTACGATTTTGGTATGTGGTGAATGCTAGCTTGTTGCTTCTTAGCTTTTCCTGGAGGTACTGGTCTTCAACCACCTCACATTTGGGTGTCCGATGCCTTATGATAATAATAACAAGAATCAGAATCATTGCCAAAGTATGAGCCTTATCTGCTTCTACTACCGTGAATTTTGTGTTAGTGTGTTTGAATTTTAGGTAAGATGAAAACAAGATTCAGCAAACAAAATCTATAGTAAAGGCTAATGAAAGTCTTTAGTCTTGCCTTGACTTCTAATCTAATAGGAATATCTTATATCTCATGTTCAAAGCCATGAAAATGTGAGTATTATGTTTAATTTGTATGTTGATACTTTTTACTAGTGCATAACTAGAAGTATCCGATTCGTATCTAATGCAAAGATCATAAATATTACCTTTACATTTGCATTTCTTTGCCAAAAGATACACAAGTGATCAGGTCCTAGTCAAAATCTTCACAATTTGTTTCAGAATTCAGACGGTGTAGAAGAAACGAAAGGAATTACACTTTTTCCTTTCTTTGATATTTGGATATTGTTGGGTTTTTAATGTATTTAATTAATATATTAAATACTTAAAAGAGGGTGAATGAGAAATGAAGGGAAATGAAAGTTTTGAGTGAAATTTTAAGTTTCCCTCCTTGGTAAATGGACAATGTCCCATATTGGAAGAGGAAGAGGTTTTTTATAGGTATATAAGCAATTGCTCTTCTTCTAGCTCTTACAGAGTTAAGAAGAAGGCAAGCCTCGCGTCGTCGTCGTCGCTCGGCTCGGCTTCGGATTTGGTCAAATGATGGATTGATTAACTTTTTCGATCGAAAATTAACTTACCCTCTCCAATTTTCCCTCTTTAGTGTTGAGTAAATAGTCATTTATGTAATGGCATTTATGTTGTGGCCGTTTTGTAGAAACAACCATTCTGAAGAATTGCACATCTTCAGATTTCAGCCCAACTTTGGCTATAAATACAACACTATGCTACTCAGAATTTCACTACGATTTTCTGAGTTTCTCCTCCTTCTTCTGCATACTTTTAGTATCAAACAAAGCAATAGTAAATGTGATTTGCTACCGAACTTTGTGTTCGCTGAAACACTGGGGTTTGAAGTACCACTACACCTGTGTGTAATTCGTTCTATCCTGGGAGGAAATAATCCATAACTTTGGGTACTAGAAGGGGATTAAATTCCTTAAGGAAACACTATGAATTCAGTGGGCTCGAATTGGTTTTCTGTTATTTCATTGTTCACTTCTGTTTATGTTCATTTCTGTTTATGTTCATTTATATTTCCAGAATTATTTTACAAATACAATTTACTAACAAGCTTAAGGAATTTAACTATTTTCTGTATTTGTACTCACTGTTTCTGGAGAGTAAAACCTTTGTGGTTTTGTACTCTATTGGAGATTAAAATCTACATGATTTTAACGTTTGTGTCATTCTTTTACAGAAATGACTAATAATAACGAAAACCAAGCTGTTCCGATGGTGACTGCCAATGCCTCAACGAGCCGAACAACACCGACAGCATTGGCACCGGCAGAGAAACCCGAAAATTTTTCGGGATTGATTTCAAGCGTTGGGAGCAAAAGATGTTCTTCTATTTGACTACTCTAAGTCTCCAGAAGTTCATCAAGGAAGATGTTTCTGTGCTGTCCGATGAAACTCCAGAAACTGAACGTTTTCTCGTGATTGAGGTGTGGAAGCATTCAACTTTTTTGTGCAAGAATTATATTCTAAGCGGGCTAGAGGATACTTTGTATAACGTCAACAGTGGCGTGGAAATGTCAAAAAAACTGTGGATTACGCTTGAAAAGAAATACAAAATCGAAGATGCCGGGTTGAAAAAGTTTGTTGCTGCAAAGTTTTTGGACTACAAAATGGTAGATAACAAGTCTGGTATTACCCAAGTCCAGGAATTGCAAGTGATTATTCACGATCTCCTTGCTGAAGGTATAAATCAAATTAATATTGATGTTGAAATTAGTAATCTTAGTATTTTTACTAACAGAAATTTCATTGAAGGTCTTGTCATCAATGAAGCATTCCAAGTAGCAGCGATGATTGAGAAGTTGCCTCCTTTGTGGAAGGACTTCAAAAACTACTTGAAACATAAACGAAAGGAGATGTCCCTTGAAGATCTCATTGTTCGGTTGAGAATCGAAGAGGACAACAAAACTGCTGAAAAGAGAGGCCGTGGAAACTCAACAATAATGGAGCAAATGTTATTGAAGAGAACAAAAAGAGGAAGAAGGCTTCTGGACCGAAATACAACCTAAGCAAGAAGCGGTTCAGTGGAAACTGCTACAACTGTGAAAAAACCGGACACAAATCTACGGAGTGTCATGCTCCAAAAAAAGACAAGAAGAAAGGTCTAGCAAACATGGTTGAA